CCATGGAGAGGAGGATCCAGAAAGAGGTGAAGGGGCAGGGGAAGATGGCCAGTCAGTTTTGGATATAGCACATTTGAGGGGTATGTCCTGGGGTGTTCCCTCCTTGCACCTATACCTCTCCACTCATTTGTGTGATCATTTGACCGTTTTCTTTCCCACTGGACTCCCTGAGAGCAAGGACTTTGTCTCTTAATGCTCAACATTGCAATTTTTGTCTGGCCCATAGCCTGTCCCTTGGTATGCATTAATTTGATGAGTGACTGAATTGTATTGGTGGCAGATAAATTTGAGCTCAACAATAGATCCAATAATTGCTCTCAAATACTGATTTCCGCCAGGCATTGTGCTAGACTCATTTCTACCTAACTGTAACCCCATGAGTTTCCTAATAATAATCACTCTGAAAACACTGAAGCTAACAGGGGGTGACCAGCTTCCAATAGGGACAGCTTGGCTAACCAGTACTTTGCTTCCAGTACTAAGGTTCTTTCCACATTCCACCATTCCCTGCACAACAACCCCACAACAGTGGTTTCACTACTAAATAAGCACACAGAGTCATGTGGATTAGGTGAGTGGAGGTACAGCCCCCCAAACTGCCATTTACTAGTTCTATGTCACTTTGGGGTAGTTATTTCTCTTCCATGTGCCTCAGTTTCCTCATTTTAAAAATAAGAAAAGCAGCCAGGCCTGATGGCACATGCCTGTAATCCCAGCGGCTCAGGAGGCTGAGGCGGGAGGATCTCCAGTTCAAAGCCAGCCTCAGCAAAAGCAAGGTGCTGAGCAACTCAGTGAGACCCTGTCTCTAAATAAAATATAAAATAGGCCTGGGGATGTGGCTCAGTGGTTGAGTGCCCCTGACTGAGTTCAATCCCTAGTACTTCCCCACCCCCCAAAAAAGGGCAATACTATCTAACGCGTAGGCAAGAGGGGATTTGAAATGTGACCATGTTTGTACAGTGCCAGGCAACCAGTGCTGAGACTGACAGTCCTCTTCCTCATCACTCCTGGGCTATCTAGGCCTCCCCTATCTCAACGTTCCATCTTTCGAGTCTGCCACATTAAGTGAATTCCATGCTTGCTCACAAAACCAAAGGTGGTTTTTCATGCCAGCTTCTCTGGGACTACCTAGGTGGGAGCTCTGGAGGCCTGGCACAGAGGCTGAACATGCCCGGGGCCCTGTCCCTGTAAGCTCTGCCACGTTGAACTTCTCTGGTTCAACAAGCCACTTGGCCAACAGGGATGGAGGGTTGTGACTTCCTCCTCAATAGGAATAATAACTGCAGAATAATGATATTCTCCCGAGCATCCCCAGTCTGCAGCCTCGGGAGCCCACAGCCCCTGGCCTCCCCAAACACGTAAGAGGCTGCATGGGAAGAGGGATTACCGGCACCACTCACCACACAAATGGAAATGTTCTTGAGCGAAGTGGATTCCAATAAAATATTTATAAATCCAGCCACATCCTAGAGGCCCCAGGGGGGTTTGCTGGTCAGAAAAATTCTACTTTGTAGCCCTTAATCCAGGCAGACGGCTCCTCAGTGAAATCCCTCCCTGACTATTGTTTTGGGGAATCCAGACTTCGGCCACCTGGTTTGATGCGACTCAAAGGCACTTTGTTCCCCACTGGCTTGAGCCCTGAGTCAAGATGTCTTCCCAGGTGCCCACGGTGGGCAGAGCTGGCCCCATTGCCAGAGGTCAAAGAGAAGAGCAGATCTCCAGTGCACCACCCCCAACAGGGTGCCCTAAGCTTGGTCATAGGGATATAAGGGCCTCCCTACCCCTTCTCCCTACCTGCATAGTCCTTATCTGATTATAAGGAGGGATTTTTCCAGATAAACTTTGAAATATAAATATGCTATCATATATATATGATATCAACCTCTAGACTAAATAAAAAATTTCCAACCATCATCTTCAGACATTAAAAGAGCACACACTTACATAAATTTAGAAAAATGTCTTTCTCATATAGCCGTGCGTGTGTGCACGTGTGTATTCCAAACCACTGGAATTGGAATTTTTTCCCCTCAAATCCACTTTCTTCCCCTTCTCTGTCTTTCTTTAATGTTCTGCGGAGCCCGACTTGTGGCTACGTTTTAATTATAAATGTCACTGACATAAAACAACCTCCCTGAGTTCTGAATGAGGCTGACTTCACTTTGGGTAAACACGGCAAAGGACGGGAAGTCTCCAGCCCAGAATAAGCCCGCGCGTCATCCCTGAGGCCTCTCCTTGGTTTAAAGGGCAGGCAGGCTGCGCAAGCCAGGCCTCCTCTCCACGCTTTCCAGCACCCATTGTAACCTTATCTTTACAACTTCCTAGGGCAGGAGAGGGAGAGGCTGGGCTCAGAGATGGGGAGCAGTGACCAGGCTCCCCTCACATGGCAGGCTCCTGGCTCCTTCTCCTTCTTTCTATCCTTGGAGAGTTAGAGATCAGTACCTAACTGCCAACAAGCTACCACTAAGAGGAGATGGAAGGCTCTGAGGAGAAGAGGACAAACCAGGACGACATGCTCGCCGTTTCTCAAACAGAAAGCAAGTGTCCTGAAGGGCTGGTATATCCACTCAAAAACTCTGGGCTCACTTTCAGGCAGGTGCCTTTAGTATTCAGAGACCTGGGATGGGATTTACATGATGAGCACAAGATGATATGAGCATGGTCCATATCAGCAAGGTTATTTTGTACATTTCTGATTATTTGACATTTATTTTTGATGACCAGAACATCCCCAAACCAACACAATCTACTGTATTCCTAAAAAAAAGAATAGGATGGGTTGGGAGTGTAATTCAACTGTAGAACACATTCTTAGCATGAGCAAGACCCTGGGTCATGCACCAAAAAAAAAAGAAAGAGAGAAGAAGAATTAGGATGAGGAGACTGAGACAGGAGGATCACAAATTTGTAGCCTCAGAACCTTAGTGAGGACCTAAGCAACTTAGTGAGAACTTATCTCAAAATAAAATTTAAAAAAAGGACTGGGGATGTGGCTCATTAGTAAAGCACCCGTATGTTCAATTCCTGGTCCAAAAAACAAAAAAGAATTGTGGAAGATGGTAGCTCTTTGGTGAAAACTTTTTAATAAACACAAACCAATCTGCGTAGCTCATGAATATTTATGTAGGAAAAAAAAAGGTGTGTTAGAAACAGACCAAAGATCCTCAAACACCGGTGCCCCATCTCTCAGAGGTAGCCTTAGATTATTTTTAAAGAAAGGGATGGAAGAGACATTCCCTGCATTCTCTCTGCAGTCCTAGTCCTTCTTCTCATCCTCCCCAGAGCAGCTACTGTATGCATTTAGTGTGTATCTAGTGCAGTTTTATGTTTCACTTCATAGGAGCTATGCCCAGCGGTTCAAGTTATTATATTCTCCCACAGCTTGGGTTTTTGCCGTATGTTTTTTTCTGCTTTTCTTTGAAAGAGAAAAAAGGGGGGATGGGAAGAGAGAGAGAGAGAGAGAGAAGGAGGGAGAGAACTCTTACTGTAATTTGTGAGTTTTTGTTTGCTTTTGCTCAAAAACCAGCGGGGTTTGTTGTGTTGCCTTATCACGTGTAGGTTCATGTGTCTGTTGTTGACATGTGTAAGCCCTGGGTGCAGGGTCTGTGCCTAGCACTGAGCACAGTTCCCAGGAGCGTGCCAGGCCTGAGCAGCCCCCACCCCACCCTGCTGGTGGCCAGCCTCTCCCTCGCCCTGAGGCCCCTTTCTCAGGCTCTCGCCTTCCTTGCTCTTTTATAGCAGCAGCTGCAAGAGGATGTAGGTCTGGAAAAACTGGGATGAGGTCACTCTAGAGAGCTGGACACCTAGTCAGCTGCATGAGCAGCTCGGCTGGGTGTTGCTCCTTCCTGCCGGCTCTGCTTGCAGAAGGATATATGTTGAGGAAACTTAGCCAGAAAGCAATGCAGTGAAAATGAGCTATGAAACTTGGACATCCTGGAGAAACAATATTTACAGAGGAAACTCTTGAATCGAACTCTCACAACGACCCTGGTGTTGGGGCGCATGGCTGAGGGCTGGTCACGTGCTAGGCAGGTCTCGGCTCTTGTTGACCTCTGTGAGGCCATGACGGAACTCCACAGAAGGAAAGTCAACTCTGCTCGACCCCAAGGCAAGACAAACGGGCAACAGAACAGAACACAGAAATGGAAATCCTTTTAAAAATCCTCCTTGAGATCCAAAAGGACCTGCCCCTTGGGATTTCTGTAGCTCTCCTAGCGTGTTGGTCTAAATACTTGCATAGATGGGTGGTGGGTAGAAAAAAGTCCCAAGCACTAGCCTCACTCCATTCCATGGTTACCAATGGGGACCTGGAGGACCACCCACCATCTTGATTATAAAGGGACCCAACCTGGAGAGTATGGCTGGATTTGGATCAGTTCATCCCATAATTGGAGCCCAAGAGGTTGTGTGAAAGAGAGGAAATCGCAGGGTCCTTGGGGGACTCGAGCCTCGTTCTGGCCATGGTGTTGCCTCTTCTTATAACTTGGAGTGCAAGCAGATGCTCTAGCCAAAGCTCCAGCACGTCATCTGTCACCTGGAGTAGGGACCACCTCCTTCAGGGGAACTGGGTGAGGAGCAGATGAGGTCACATAAGCACAGAGGAGAAGATCACAACGGGAGTGGCCTCTCTCCATGCATGAGCTCATTCAATCCTCATGACAGCAATGGAAATAGGACACAGGGACCAACAACCCACCCAGTGACCACACAACTAACACACAGCCCAATCAGAACTGGAGCCCATGTGCTGGACTCCAGAGCCCACGCTCTCTAACTGTCCACTGTACTATGACAGAAACTAGTGTGGGGCCTGACCCACGTAGGTGATCCATAATGGTTATCACCTTCCTTCAGGCTCAGTTAAACCTGCAGGATTATGCTGAGAAATCCAGAGAAAAATATATGTGAAGGTTCTCTGAAGGCCATAAAGTCCAATGAAAATAGAGGACTTTTTTTTAAAAAAATGACTTTATTGAGATATAATTCACATACCATTATAACTCACCCATTTAAAATATATCATCCAGTGTTTTTTTTTTCTTACATTTTTTCTTAATAGAGTTGGACAGCCATCGCCACCATCAATTTGAGAATATTTTCAAAGAGAAACCCCATGTCCCTTAACTATAATTCCTCCATCTCCACTCCCACCCCTGCGGAGACCCTGGCTACCACTAACCTGCTGCTATATTTATAGATTTGTTTCTTTGGGGCCTTCCTTGTAAATGGAATCATAAAGTATGTGGTTCTGCTGGTTGCTGTGGTGTGCACCTGTGATTCCAGAGACTCGGGAGGCTGAGGCAGGAGGATTGCAAATTGAAAGCAGACTCATCAATTTAGTGAGGACCTGCCTCAAAATGAAAAAAATAAAAAGGGCTGGGGATGTTTTCCAGTGCTAGAGAGCCCCCACGGTTCAATCCCCAGTACGTGGGAAAGAAAAATCTTTCCATTGTACAGACAAGGAGGCTGAGGCCCAGAGAGGGGATGGAGCATGGCCAGCTGTTGGGGGTAGAGGCCAGCCTCGAGCCTTTTGACTCTCATCTTGATCCCATCTCACTTTGAACTGTTGGAAACACAGTTAAAAACTCACAGGTCACTGATGGGGGACCAGCAGCAGCATCTCTGCCAACATTTGCCTGACACCATTCATTCAGCAAGTGGATGCTGTCTGTCCCCCATGTACAAGACACTGCGAGAGGCCGGGGACGCAAGGAGGCACAGATCAGCCAGGACTCCTGCCCTTCCTCTCAGATGTACCTTCTCTTGGAAAGGCAGAAACAAATGAATGAACCCCTAAATAATCAAATAATTGTATGTTAAGGGCCACAAAAGAAGCAATCAAGGGTCTGAGAAAGAGCCATGTGGGGACTAGGGAAGTACCGGCACAGCAGGGGTGGGGTGAAAGGACCCACCATACAGAGTGCCACACAGCACTTCATCAGACACTTGGAGAAGGTGTCTCCAAGGAGGGGATATTTAGGTTGAGGCCCGGAGGAGGAGAGAAGCAATCTTGTGACTATCTAGAGGAAGAAGTTACCAGACAGAGAGCTTAGTATGTGCAAAGATCCTGGGGCAAGAAAGAGCTTGGAGTGACTGAACAAGCAGGTGGTGTGACATGAGGCTGGAGAGGGCTGGGCCTGGATCCCAATGGAAGCTCTTTGGCCTCTTCTTTCATGACCACACTCTTAGAGTTAAATGAAGACAGGAGGACTTGTGGGAAAGACCAGAGGCTCCCAGTTCCCTTCCAGTGAATTCAATGAACTTCACTGACCACAGGCAGCTGGAAGGAGTCCCGAATCTAGAGCAAAGGCTTCCAAGGATGAGAGAAGCATCCTCCGTACGCTTCCGGTCTTCGGTGGGAGTGATGTAGCTGTGTATCGCCCTTGGGGTGAATCAGATGAGGAAAATGGTGTATAAAAAACATATAAAAAACAACATACAGCCGTATCAATAGGGAGGGGGTTAAATAACTATGGTATAGCCACATCGTGGAACATAATTCAACTGGCAAAAACAATGAGCTGAACCTTTCAGTACTGCCATAGTTGATAAGAAATCAACCAACCAACCAACCCTAGGGGTAGCACTGTGTGAATCGAATGTCATCAATTGTGTGCAATAAAACAAGATGCATATTTGGCAAAATCCACACATATCATCTGTCTACAAGGAGGGATTCCTGCTGTTTCTGTCTCCCCAGGATAATGAACTGCACAGGGAGGAAGGGCAGGATCTTCTTCATTGGCTAGATGGTAGGACGGAGGGAGGGGTACCCGGGGACTCTCCACTGTCTTTTCTGAGACTGTTTCCAAGTTTGAAACATGGGAATGGATTCTTCCCTATTCAAAGAAGTTAAATGAAAAAATAAAAACAAAGAAACGGTCTAGACCTACGAGCCAAAGCCCTATGCTCCAACCCTGCTGCCCCTCAGCCTCTGATAAGTCCTAGAGGAGTCGGTTCCTGGTCTGGATTTTGCTCCTAGTTGTATGGATGCTTTGTGATCGTCTGGTGACCAAAGAAATTGTCCAGAGAGACCAGAATTAACCCCAATTGCCAAATTAGAACCCTCAAAGCCCCTGCCTTCGGAGGCACTCTGAGATGTGCCGCAGTCCGGCTGCAGCAAAATAACCGGGGGGTGACGAATAACTTGTGTACATTGATACAGCAGGAGTAGGAGCCGTTTATTGCAGGACAGGAGCAGTATTTATACATTCCACACAGCTTATCTAATTAGCATAAACTAGATACATCAGTCAACCAATAAGGAATCTCCACACTTAATGGCTTGTTTTTGTTACTTCTCAAACCAGTCCCTCTGGCATTTTGCCAGGCACCATCCAGACTTGTTTAGGAACTTTAACATTCCCCTGGCTAAATGCCAGGTGTTATTTTGACTTGTTTACAGACTCTAACAGAGATGAACAAGCAAGAACGTCTTCATCACTTGGGTCCTAGACTGTGATTATGGACCCAGCACTGGGCGGGCACCTTGGGAGTGTCCCTGTGCAAAACCGGTCGAGCGGGCCTCAGTTTAACTCGAGATCGCTGCCCTCAGCCTCCAAGTTTCTCCACCTGGGCACCACGGACTCTTCCAGCTGAACAGTTCTTTGCTGGACGGCTGCCATGTGCATTATAAGATGTCTTGCAGGGTCCCTTGGTCCCTGCCTACTAGAAACCAGGAGCACCCTCCAACCCCTCTGGTTGTAACAATCCAACCCATCCCCAGACAATGCCCAGTGTCCTCCATGGGACAAAATAGTCCCAGCTGAGAACCCCTGTTCTCACCACTGTATTTCCGAGCAACTGTTGCCCTCTAGATGGGAAACTAGTGACTTCCCCTTGGTCTGGACCCCAGATGGGTTGCCCCAGGGGTGGAGAGGTCGACTGAACTTCACTGTGGTTGGTCCCCTGTGTTTCATAGCTGAAAGCCATCCTAACTCCTTGGGAAACTTTTCTGTCTGGAAAAATAACAATTCCAGATTTTTTTTTTTTTAAATAAGAGAACAAGGGACTGGGGTTGTGGCTCAGCGATAGAGCGCTCGCCTAGCACGATCCTCAGCACCACAGTAAAAAAAGTAAAAGATAGTGTGTCTAACTACAACTAAGAAATAATAGAATAATAGAAATAATAGAACAAAGCCAAGTGTGATGGTGCACCCCTGTAATCCCAGCTGCACGGGAGATTGAGGCAGGAGGATTGCAGGATCAAGGCCGGTCTGGGCAAGTTAGCAGGACCTTGTCTTTCAAACAACAACAACATCAAAAATCTGTCCGCAAGAGTCACACGCTGGTCAGCTCCACTGCACCCCAAGATTGATGGGATGGCAGAGCCAGGGAAGCAAATGCCATTCCCTCCTGATTATTTTCTTCCAGGAGACAGCAGGAGGGGAGCAGGACACCCTGAAGGGCCCCACGGGGTTATTGTAACAAACAGGGTGGACAACCAGAGGAGCTAGCCATCGTCTCTCCTCCTCTCAAGAACATAGTTCCCCATGCACAGCTTTCTCTGGATGGCAAAGAAAAAGGAACTGTATTTCTATGTTCTGATTAATGGGAGGCTCATCCTTGGGGTTCTACAAAACGAATGAGCAGAATTTTCCAGAACCGATTATCCTGGCCGCTGGGCCCTATCTGCACAAGTGTCGCGTTGACTCTACTTTTTCTTGTGTTATTTTTATTCCAGTTCAGCTGCAGCTCAGTGCGGAAAGCGTGGGGGAGGTGTATATAAAGAGTACTGAGACCGGCCAGTACTTGGCCATGGACACCGACGGGCTTTTATATGGCTCAGTAAGTATGAAACTGACGTGCCTCCAGACACGGCCCAGGTTTGAGGTTTCCAGAAATCTTGTTACACCAAGTGATGCAAACTCAAAAGCATCAATTAGTCTCTGTTTGTTATTTTTTCCAGTAGGATTCCCACCCTCTACCTTGCCTTATTTTAGGTATGAACATAAAAGAGTTTTTTGTGGTAGTCTCAAAATACTCAAGTGTATTATCCTACAGACAGAGAGGAAACATTGATTGATGTTTTGGTAGCTCATCAGACAGTCATTTCAGAATACCTACTCCTGCTTTATTCATTCAGTCCCAAAATGTTTTCTTGAGCACCTACTAAGTGCTATAGGCATGTCTCTTAATACTTTTACAAAAATTGTGAGCCCAGACGTTAGCAGTTTAAATGTCATGTATACAGGTTTGAAAAAAGGCCCCTTTTATTCTAGATAGATCACCTAAAAGAATGAACATTTTAATAACTTAATTGAACATCTATCGAATTGGCTTCTCTTGTGTCTCAGTGCCATCTTAGATACTGAGAGGTCCATAAAGAAGAATGAGCCACATCAAGAAGTGTAGGCTTTAATTTCTTCGGTAACTAAAACCCTGCACACCTGCTTCTTCCCTCTGAGTAAAGGCACTGGACAGGTTTGACCCAGTGTGTCCTTCTGGTCTTTGTGAGAAAAGAATAGAAACACAGGCAACCTGATTTTGCCCCTCATTTTCCTCCACTAAAAGATTTAACTGGACAGAGAGCTGAAATAAATCATTGCAGAGTTTGCAATTATTTCCAGATTTCAACTATCCCTCCAGTTCCCTAATATCTGATAACCAGGGTGTGACTGTGACTCATGACCCAGTTCAAACCACTTTCTTCCCTTTTATGAAGATGTCTCCAAAAAGGTAACCATAGTGCGAGTTTAGTCTGGGGCTTCCTTTGACTTGTACGAAATCGCCAAGCCTGAGAAGGGGCAGGAAACCCTTTCTTGAAGCCTGGCTGCTAGTGCTAGATGTGAACAGAGTTTGTTTCATCACACTGCCCACTAGAGGTCAGGAGGAGGAATCATCACAGTAATAGGTTGACTCTTAGGCAGTTTGCTGAAACACAGAGCAACTGGGACAAGTTCAAGGGGTTTGGAGCGTAGACCTTGGCTGCTACATAGGAAGTAGTTTTTTCAACTACTAATAGAATCAATCAATCACCCAGTCTCAGACCCACAACTGAATCTCACGCCTCTGTCACTTTGTAAGTTACTTGCCCACTTGGAGCCCTGTCTAAAATGGAATGTAGGACAGTGACCACTTCACATGGGCTCAAGAGGGGTCAATGAGACCACACACACAATACATCCGCCAGGGTGAAGGGCACATTGGCACTACATTAACAGTAGCTATAAGACAAATAATCAGCTTGTGAATACCTTATCCTATCTCTGTCTTAGGTTATACATTACAGTTTTATGGCCTTTTCTCCTTTAAATCTTTTTTTTTTTTTTTGCAGTACTGGTGGTCTCCTTTCATTACACTCAGCTTTACCCCATGAGCACACATCCCCAGCCCGTTTTATATTGAGTCAAGGTCTCACTAGGTTGTCGAAGCTAGACATGATTTTGTGATCTTCCTTCCTTAGCCTCCTGAGTAGCTGGGGATTATAGGTGTGTGCCACTACACTGACCCCTTTAGATCAGTTTTGATATTTATTGTAAACTTCTTTTACTTATATAAAAATATTAAGGAAGAATCCAGTTTGCTTTAGGTTCCAGGCAGCCCCTCTCCCACTATCACCCTGGTTTTCACTGCTACTTACCTGAAATATGGTCTTAGTATCCTATGCCTGATTTTTTCGGGAGGGTGGAAGGTACTGGAGATTGAACTCAGGTGCACTCAACCACTGAGCCACATCCCCAGCCCTATTTTGTATTTTATTTAGAGACAGGGTCTCACTGAGTTGCTTAGTGCCTCACTTTTGCTGAGGCTGGCTTTGAACCTGTGATCCTCCTGCCTCAGCCTCCTGAGCTGCTGGGATTACAGGTATGCACCACCAAGCTTGACATTACACCTGATTTTTGACATTTTTCCCCATTTAAATTTTAAAGAAAATTCTCAAGTACCTCACAGCCCTGCCTCATGAACAAATTTTATTCAATCATCCTAATTCAAATATGTGTATGCACACGTGTGTGTGTGTATACAGAGAGGACATGTTTATTTTAAGTTTGAATGTCTGTATACCAAAATATTAACACAGTTCTCTCTGGGCGTGGTAAGTGGGTGTTTTTCTAACATGGGGGTGCCTTCCTGTATTTTCCAAATCTTCTACGGTGAGTATGTCACCTGTGTAACTGGAAGAAAAGCATGCTAAATATAAAAAAGAAACAACCACAATCCTAGGTGTGTATCAACAAGTTGGCACTGTACCTCATGCATGGCAAGTGCTGAAAAGTCCCAGCTGGGGTTGGGGCACCTCTGGGTTGGCCTGCGGCTCAGCTTGTGACTCAGCCACTTGGTCTGTGTTGACTGAGCCGGTGTAGTAGAGACATCAGTTGGGAAACGTGGCCAGCCTCACCTATATCATAGAAGGCAGGCCTTACACCCACCGGGGGGAGT